GAGAAATACAAGATAAGTGTTTTGGTCAAGTAGTTGCAAGTACAATTGCTGTAGCAAATGGGCTCAGGTTCAATTACCGATTTACCAATTGGAACCATAAATTTTTTTTAAAGTAATGTTGAGTCCAGAATTGTCTCCAGTGTATTGCGATGCGAGCTGGCCCAGAGGTTTAAGGTGTCCGCTTCTCGTGCATGAGGGTGTGAATTCTGAGTTCTATGTACTTTTAAGATTATTAAGTCACAAGTGACACACCATGAATGAAATTTAATTGTGGGAGTGCCATGCTTCACCACGAAGGAGCTTAGTTGATCGGAGTGATACAGCTTTACAGTAAACTGATGTGGAATACCGCTTGCATCATGTGAGTGAGGTTACTGGAGGCCCAAATAACAACCCGCCTCCCCTCTTCCCCAATCTCCCCATCTCCCCCAATCTCTGAATCCCCAAAAATCCTCAAAGTCCTAATACCTAAAAGCCTGGTAAAAGACTTGTAATGCCTCTGGTGTTCGGGTGTCCATGGACGACGTTGATGACTTACCATCACATGATCCGTCAGCTTGTAGGAAACAAGCTGGCATATCCCATAAAAAACATTGTACACTTTGATTATAAGTTTAAATTTGCTAGGTCGCCTTGAGCAAATGTGTTGATTGACCTCTTGTCTGATATGAATGAGACACAATAGAAAACACATTATGTCTTGCATAGATCTGCGTTCTGACTCTCCACATATTAATCCTCAAACCTTCTATTTGTTAGAAGAGGCCTTCGCTTAGCAGTGGGCACCTTTGAATGTATATATACACCTCTGCCTACACCTTCAAGGATTAATATATGTGTACTGCATTTTGATTCCCCCTTCTCAGCTTCTCATGGATGGATCTCTCTTTAGGATGTGGGTTTGAAACCTGACGAGTAGCAATACAACACTTCTGAGTTTTGAGTTCTTTATAAGATTAGTTACTTTAGTCACCAAAATTTTTTAATTTTGATTATCAATTTCCATGTAATTGTAACATGTATAGCTATATACATATAAATTAAGCCCTTCTTTCCCTTGGTCTGTGACTGGACCAATTTCAAATTCAAATCCAGCGAGAATGAACAGAAGCTATTAACAAATAAATATACCTAAAATACTACCTAATTAAAATAATCAATAAGATTGTTTTTAGGATATTGCTTTATATAATAGCATAAGCAGAGATACACTTATGATATTATATAAAGCAAGAATTTATTTGTTTATTTAAATATGGTAATCTCCAGAACTGTGGGTCCGATATAAATAATTATTTAAGTCTTGAATTTCGTGTTTATCGAGGAAGGCTGGTAAAATTCACGCTACGATCAATAGGAGTCGAGCAGAGCGGGTGTAACCGCGTGGAGGTAGCTAGTTAGTTCATGTACATACCTACTTATATGTAGACAAGATGGAGAAAGTGTCTCCATTCTCATTAAAAACCTAAGGGAAGTAGGGGTTATCTGAACCTGGAATGTTTTTGATTAAACAACATATTGTTGGTAGATATTAGTAAAATTAGTATTATATTTATATATATAATTCTGCTGTACGTGTATATGTCATTGAACTCCTCCTTAACGGCTTGACCGATTTAAATGAATTTTTCTGTATGCGTTTGAGTGGCGCCCTGGATAGTTTAGATTCACAAATCAGCCCAGCAGATGGCGTTGCAGTCAGAGTCTAGGCTATTTATCCTAAACTAACAATAATAATTATTATTTTATTGGTCTTTCCTTTCATACTTTTTTTAATAATCTTATCGCTTGAAATATTATAATAATAATGCAGGACAACTTCTGTCGGATCCACTAGTAGTAATATATACCTAATGAATGCTGAAAATTATTATTATTACATAACATCACGCCTTTTATCCCCGAAGGGGTAGGCAGAGGTGCACATTATGCCATTGTACAATGTAACCCCCACTTTTCACTATTTATGTTATGAGTCCCATGTAATAGGGGGTGAGCCTATTGCTATATACCGGGCACAATTCCAGACACCGTGCTACTACTGAGAATTAAAAAAACCCTGTAACACTTTGCCCGACCCGGGACCCTCTTGCAGTCGCACTTTCGACTACTAGGCCAACGAGGCAGTCTTGTTATTATATAGTGAGTTAGTGTAAATGAATTTTTATAAAATTAAATAGAATCTCCTTCTCTACTATTACACATTTAATTAAAAACTTAGATCTCGGCACTTTAGGAAATTCAAATTCAAGTATTTTATTAAATTTTTTTCCATCCCAGTAGGCTAACCTTCCCGTAGGCCGAGGCTCACAACAACTCTACAAACATGCCTAATAAGAAGAAATCTAAAGTGTAAGTATACATTCTTCAAATATTTATAAATATACTAGCTTTTGCCCGCGACTTCGTTCGCGTGGAATAGTGACTTCCGGCAGATTTTTGATCTCTTCAAAAATTAAATGTGGAAGATATTCTAGGGAACTCTTCAAAAATCAACATAATGAGCTCTGCGTCTGAATTGAAGATATGTATACTCGCTTAGCGCATTAAAGCCGTTATTGCCGATCAAAAAGGCGAAAATGTTGTTATTCCCTTATTTTCAAAATATTATTTTGATTTGCCATTTCAAAAAAAAATACTGTCTCCCTTGACAAATTACCTATTCCCTTAATAACCAAGCTTAAAACTGTATAATTTAAAAGGAACGATCTAATAAATATAAAAATTAAAATTAATTTAGACATACAATTTTAGTACTTATCTACTAATAATCGAGATCAAACTATCAATCAATCGAGATCAATCCTCAATTCCACGACAGTACCGAAGCACTCGGCCGATACCTACCCAACCAAATGCGTGTAACGAAACCATAGCGCGATCAATTTCAATCCCAACGCCATCTATCGAGCATAGTGATAACTCGGATTATTTATCTATACTCCGTTCGGGCATTTTCTTTGTACTAAAAGTTTTATTATATTGATATTATTCTTTTCATACCTTTTAACTATTTATTTACTTTTTTCCGATGAATTAAAACAATAACATGAACCGAACTCGTGTAACTATCGACACCATTGCGCGATCACCAACTCGACATAATAGAATTATCTCTGCTCCGTTAGAGCATTTTCTTTGTACTAAAAGTTGTATTATATTATATTTTTCATACCTTTTTACTATTTATTTAAATCTTCCCGTTGAATTTTCAGTACTGAATTGATGCCGACTCTTGACCAATAGATGGCGCTGTATGTATGAATTATTTTTATTTTTTTTGTAATAAAAACTACCCTATGTCCTTTCTCAAGATCCAAACTATGTCTGTACCAAATTTCACACAAATAGGTTCAGTAGTTTAGGCGCGAAGCAAAGACAGACAGACAGAAAGACAGACAGACAGACAGAGTTACTTTCGCATTTATAATATTAGTTTGAATATTAGTTTGGATAATATTAGTTTGGATTTATTCTGAGATATCTTGCCAGTTAAATGTTTGTGTTAATTAATGACTAAGAGGACAGGAATTCTTTTGTTTGAAAGGTTACACTTCTGAGGTGGTCCCATTGTCACCGGGTCAGGATCTGATGATGGGATCCCAGGGAAAACGAGGGAAACTTTGGAAACTTATAGGGACAACTAGTGCGTTTGTTAATATTTTCAATAAGTATTTTAAACCAGTATAATTTGACATAGGTCTGGAGTTGATCTGATGATAGAGTCCAAAGGCAGTCGAGGGAACTCCTCAACGGTTAGTAGTAACGACCTCGTTTTTGATTGAGCTTGATTAATTTGTATTGATGAGAACTTTACACCTAGATGAAGTGGGACTGTCATTAAGGGTCTGATGATGAAGAAGTGTAATTGTTAAAGGAACAGTTTAATTGTTTACAGTAACTACCTTGTGTTCGGGCTTTATTAATTGGTATTGAAGAGAACTTTGCACAGTGGGACTGTCATTAAAAGTCTGATGATAAAGAAATATAATTGTTAAGGGAACTCCTCAACGGTATTATACAAGACCAAACACAGTTACTGTAAGTACCATGTGTTTGGTCTTGTATAATTTGTATTGATTAGAACTTTGCACCTATGTGATTTCGGATTTTGGAGCTGCTGTTTCTTCTTACTGGTACTTCATACTTCTTCTTAATGGTCACAAAATGTTTTTAGATTTGTTTGGAACTTATTAGTCTTCTTTATATTGTTTATACGAAGTCCTGAATGCTGTTTTTTTCTGTTTCTTAATTTTATTGATTTATATTTAATTTTGTGTTTCTCAAAAAATATCTATCGTTCACAATGGGGTAGACGACTAATTTTTATTTTAATGTCCGTCTGATAGATTATTTAAAAACATTAGACACGTATTTTTTATTTTCTCACAGAAACGAATAGTTTCGAAGATATATTGATTTGAAATGTCGCGTGACGTCACTTCTCAGTACATTTTATACTAAGGAATGACGTTTTAGCCCCCACTCCTAAACTTTGATTCGTTGTATCTAAGTATTGTTTTATTATACGACAAAATAAAAAAATACGTGTCTAATATTTTTTCATTACCTAACTTACGGACTAATTATATTTTTAATTTTCATACCCTGTCATCATCCCCATTCTTCCCATTTTTGTAGAAATATTAACAAAACAAAATTAAAAAAGAAAAGAAACTGAAAACATTAACTTCTGGGTCAATTATTAACCGATGATAACAGTTAAAAATAAAAATATTTAAAAATATTATTATAGTAGTAAGGTACGTCGAACGCAGAGGATATTAAAAAAGCAAGGTAGGTAATAATGTTATTACCCGGTATACCCTTTGAGTACCGTCATTATAGACACAATTAAAGAACAATAGGTTACGGTCACCGGTGTCCTCGCGGTGTTTGACAGTTTAATTTTGATTTCGCAATACCTGGCCACATCCTGGTATTAGAGAAACTGGTATACACAGCATTATATTTGTGTAATTTTTTTTGTATGGTTTTAGCTCTTATGTAAAAATGTCTCGGCCGCCGCCGCCGCGGCGACCGTCGCCTTCACCTCCACCTGAGCCTGCGCCGGCGCCAGCGCCTGCGCCTGCGGCTAAACATCTGGCTCTGCCTGAGGCTGCACCGGCGCCAGAACCAATTGCTGTAAAAAGAAGAGCACGAGGCTGCGAGGGTAAGTATCATTTATAATAGTAGGTACTATTATACATACGTTAAAGACAATCTAATACATATTTAGGGAGTATCCAGAATTTGCCTACTTTTAAATGGGCACGCCTTGCAAACTCGATCCCAATTTTCAGGGGCATGGGAACAAATATTTAACAATTTATCAAAAGATTAAATGTTTTGACATGTAGACTCGCTCTAGTGGATATTTATCTTTTTGAGAGTGGGCAAATTGTTTGTAGGTCTCATTATACTTAATGCTTGGCGAATAACGATTGAAAATAGATTTTATAGTCAATTAGTGAGATATAAAAAGAGCCAGTTAAATTTTGCATATGCGAATATGTAGGTACTTTGAAATAATTTTGTGAAAATTTAAATTTTTGTTTTGATTTTAAATAGGTAGGGAATCTAAGTAGGTGTAGGTAAAAAAATCATACAAAAATTTAAATTTTCCCCTCATAATTTGTGTTTAGAATGATCAATTGCTCACACCATGTTACAAGGGGCATGTTTCATAACTACTGAAAAAAATATTCATTAGTTAAAACATTGACCTGCTCTATTTTGTTCTCCTGTGTCGTGGGCACTCGTGGGTGCGTTTACAAACATACAATTTCAGATGCACCAACACCAACTTGTGGATCACACAAAGAGTTGCTCGGTGCGGGAATCGAATACACGATCAAACATTGTTTATTATGTGACATTACCTGCCACCGTGCCATTTATTATGTGTACCTCTGCCTTAACCTACGGGTATAAAAAATATGACGATGTAAATAAAAATATATTTCCATTGCGCGCTTTGAATGTTACGAATCATATATATAACATATGTGCATTCAATCGAAACATTTTCGTCTCGACCAGAGTGCTACCACGGCCCCACAAAAAACCTATGTGAAACACTGCTTGCGTTGTTTCGCCGCGTGAGTGAGCTTACCCGAGACCCAATTCCTCCTCTCCCCAATATCCAATCCCTAACCCCTAAAAGGCCGGCAACGCACTTGTAACTCTTTGGGTGTCCATTGGTGGCGATGGTCAATTGCTTATCATCAGGTGATGAGATTGATAGTTTGACGGCTTATCCCTAAAAAAATCGAATGACACATCCGTAGCGGGTTTAAAAGAACAGTGAGAAAAATCAGGAAAGACACTATTTATGTATGCTAAGATAATTTTGACATGTTGAGATAATAAAATTTAAATTGCAAAAGATATTTTGAAGATTTAATTCCATTATGTCGAGTCCCGTTACAGTCACGTCCAATGAAATGTATGTTACAGACAAAGTGATTAATTTGATATTATTGACTGGTAATTGTACATAATAACCAAATTAATGACACAATGTGATAAATTAATACCTTAACCAGATATTATAAATAATAGCAGGCTCAAGTTAACTAAAGTGATAAATACGATCTAACGGCCCACGACTGCGGTCTTAGGGCTCGTGCATAAAACTGCGATGCGATGCAAATTCGCAACATAGAAAATTACGAAACGAATTGCTGCGATGCAATTTTGTTTGACAAGGCGTCTCCCTGGGTGACCATTCCTTCGACAATCGTCAACCGTAATAAACGTATTTTAAATTGAAAACTAGGTCGTGACATAAATAGGTGTGCACTTTTGTTATTGCTTGATTCGCATGTAGAGGGAGCTCGCACATTTTTGCGGTGCGACGTCGCATCGCAGTTTTGTGTACAAGCCCTTAGAGGTGAGCGGAGTGGTGTTGTTGAAAATCACGGCTGGACGACTATCCAAAATGAGTACGGCTGAGTCAAAATCCGCCGCTGCTCGAAATGTTCAACCTTTCATCATGGGTTTCTAACGTTGTCATGGTTTTTGAGGGTGGTAAAACCGATTGTATGGTCAAAATGTAAATCCAAGATGGTTGCTGCACGAAATTTTCAATTTATCCTCGAATATATTATACCACCCTTGAATACCATGAAAACGAGATCCATTTTTTTATTTTTAAACGTTATTCCATGACGAAACATTAAGAATTTTGCAACCACCATCTTGAAATTACATTTTAACAGCACCATTGATTTTACTATCCATCTTGGATTTACATTTTGACATTACCATCGGTTTCTCCGTCCTCGTAAACAATGACTACGACCATTCATGACGACTAAATGTGTAAAGTCTCGCATCGACAATACTACTTATTGCAGAACGTCTCACATTGAGAATCCGTTTAGCCGCCGCGCCGTATCTCAAAACACCCTGTTCATTTACACCTGCTTGTTTTATTGCTTTATCCAAGTCTTCGAAGATATTATTCATAATAGCTAGTCGATGTGATTAATTCTGCAATATTAATCACTTCGGCCTAATAGCCGAGGAGAACTTAAAAGGTTATCGGAGCTCCGGCTCGAAATGCAGGAGCAGGAACGGGGTGGGTTTTAGTCAGTAAGAGTCTGACACTACCTCCCACCTCACCCATGCGGGTGAAGCCAATCAATGACTTTCCGCCCTTAAAAAGCTCCTAAACTTGGATTCGTTTTATCTAAGCAGGTATTCTTTTCTTATACGACAAAAAAATTCGTGCCTAATATTTTTTGATTCTAACTGACGGACTAAATAGATTTTTTATTTTCATACCCCGTCATCACTATCTATATTGCATTCCGGAAATTCACTTAGATAGCACGTTTCTTTCCCCATGTGCTTGAATGTGATGGAAACTGGAATATTAAATTGTGTATGTATGGATCGTCCTCAGTGGCGTTCTTCAGTTTCTACCTACCTCCATGAGATAAAAACGTGCGTTTTTGTATATGCATATGCACACAGCACTATATGCTCGTCACCAAGTATAAAAAAAGCAAAGCAAAGATATTGACAATACTGTCCAGCAAATGTAGGTACGGATTCCATTCTAGGTAGGATGCATCAATATTTGAAAGTTGATTGCATTTTTGTTTTTGTTTATCGGCACTTAGATATAAATAAGTTAGTTGTCTTCGCTTGGCGCATATTTATTTTCTGTCTCACAGGAGCTGATGTGAAAAAGTTAAAAATCAGTGACCCGGGCGAACGCCGTAGCGACAAAACAAACAGGTTTGCAAATTACCTAAAATATTTGTAGTAAAATTACTTTGTGAGCATGATAATTATTAAGATTTTATTTATTAGTGACCCCACATTTTTATTTTATACTGATTTTTGGTTTTATAATACTTCAACAAGCGAGTTTTCTGGCGTTTTGATTACCTTTGCAATAGTGGACATGCGAATTTGTATAATAGTTTTTGTAATTGTAAGCGTGATTAGTAGGTACAGGTTAGAAAAGTACATTTATATGCGGGTAAAGCGCAATAAGTATCAGCAGCGGCCCCGGTTCGGAGCAGGTCGGCTATTCTGGAACTTTCAATTCGAAATATCGAAGTGAATTCGATTGCGGTCCGCCATGTCATTTGATTTATTTGAAGCTTGATATTAATATTTTTCTATCTAATTTAATTTTACTTTACATATTACCTACAGTCAAACCATTGATTATAAGATACTTACCTTTGTGATATAAATAAATAAATATACAACATGTAACGTAATTAACGCACACCCTCAAACACCCCAATTAGAATATTATGTTATAATCATAATACATACACTAAATTTTTAATTTAACATGTACATGCATCCTTACTGGTCTTGTCATAAGGTTTATTTTTCTTTATTTTGTATTGAATTATAGAATTTGTATGAATACAAATAAAACTGCGATTTTAAAAGTCTTATTGCTTTGAATTACGGTCCATTTCGATTTGTTAACAATACAGGGTTAATATGACAATAATTTCCGTAGTTTTAATTATTTTTGGGATAAAAAATTACCTATACTAAAAATTATATAAATCGATTCAGTTAACGATTCTGAACAAACTATTTTCAGGATGTGCGTTATTTAAGTTACATGTTGTATAATACAAAAACTATATGATACTACATGATATAACGCACCTGTGACTCCTCTGGTGTTGCGGGCGTCCATCCATGGGCGGTGCTGATCGCTTACAATCAGGTGATCCGTCTGCTCGTATGCCTCCTATTCCATATAAAAAATATATAGATATTGTACGCAAAAAAGTTATTAAAAACTTTTTGACGTGAGTGACGTCAGTCAGTTATGAATCTCCTACAAAAATCATAGAAACCATAAAAGAAACCGTTTGACATTTTGAATCTCTTGACATTCAAGAATCTGACTGGTTATCAACATCCCCACTGGCGTACCGATAGAAGTTATATTCTCTTTGATACCGACGGCTAGCTTGGGCAATCTAGTATAGATAAGTCTTTAGTAGGTATAGATGCTGAGCGATATACATATCAGCCTGGAAACTAGCCCACTTCCGGCCAAATGTTTCTCATAATTATAAAGATATTATTTAATTTTAAACAATTTGTTAATTTGAATCGATTCAAACAAAATTCACGCAATTTAACGAATACCTACATAGCTTTGCGTACAAAACACTGAAAAATGGCTGCCTTACAATTTCTATTTATCAATGTTATTTTTCTATATTGAATATAATCGTTCTTTTACCTACCTCCCTGCCTTTTAGAGGTATAAAACGAATTATACGTCACATTATTAAAAAATAGACCACGATACTTTAAAGTGAAAAGAAACTAATTATTTATATTATTTTTGAAAATATTATTTTTTATTCATATCGTACTGTGTACTGTTTTTTGGGATGCTTGAGAATTGCACTGGCTGGTTTTCTATTCAGCAGCTGTAGCCAAATGCCATTTAGCGCTTGTCTACAGAGAGAGTAGAAAACTAATTGTATGGGGGATGACGTTACGATTGAAAATATCGAGATATACGACGTGAAAATTTACGTCAATCCCATATAATTTGGTTTTCTATTCTACAAGTAGACAAGCGCTAAATGGCATTTGGCTACAGCTGCTGGTTATAGTTACAAAAAAATAATTGGTACCTAGTTAAAAATGTCATGACGTAATATTTAACTTTTTGTACCAATAAGTTAAATGACGCCACAACTCGCAATAAAATCCTCAAAACGACTTTTTGTTTGGGCAGCAGTTTTATTTGACTAATTGGAAAGTGCTTATTAGGCTAAGATGTCGATGGTACTTACCATGATTAAGTTCTACCTACTAAGATATAATGGCAGTTTATAATTTACTTTGTGATTAAAAAATAATAATTTTGTAATTTTATATTTTTAGCAAGTTGAAGAAGAAGCAATGGAAAGAAGAAGCAGAAAAAGATATTCCAGAAATTATTATTGACAGTAAAAACAACTGCACATACCAAAGATTACAATTCTATGGCAGGGTAAGATGTATTTATTTTATCATTAATTTTGTACACACGACCACACATCAATCTATACAAAACCAGTTTATCCTGGTGTCGCGTCGCATCATCTTTCCGCACATTTAACGTTCAGTTTATACTGGTTGTGTAAAGCTCGATGTGTAGCTGTGTGTACCTTATAATAATAATAATATTTTTTTAACGTGAATTTTATTATCATAGTCAAAATTATACGTAACATTATAGGTATCCATTAAAATTGATAGGACATAAATTCGTAACGGTTATATTTTAGAGATGTCACCGGACAATAAACTGTAAGTTTACAAACCTAGGGAATCACATCATTGGTATTTTTTGTCTCTGTACTATTATGTATTTTTTGTATGTATGTTACGCCATTACTGCGGCGTCTGGGAACGGATTTGAATGCTTCTGTTTTTTGAAAGGAGTTGGTCCCATTTCCACCTTGTCAGGATCTGATGATGAGATCCTAGGCAACCGAGGGTAACTTTCAAGAATTGTAAGGGCGACTAGTGCGTGTTAATATTAAGTATTTAAAACCACTAAAATTTGATAAAGGTCTGGAGTCGATCTCATGACGCAACCGAGAGACAGTCGAAGGAACTCCTCGAAGATCCACCTGTGGCCGCTAAACACTGTCACAGGTGGTGCTTGAATTATTTGTATTGATGAGAACTTTACACGTAGATGGATTGTAATTTGTTATTTGGGGTCTGATGGTGAAGTACTGTGACAGCTAAGAGAACTATTTAACGGTTCACAATAGCTACCTTGTGTTTGATTAATTTGTATTGATGACGACACTCCTAAATAGGGTGTGATTGGTCTGATAATAAAGTAGTGTAATGGCTAAGAGTTAACAGTACCTACCTTGTGATTTGATTGGAGTTGATTAATTTATACTTTGTGCATATTATAGCATAATTAATTTTAGAATTACTATGTTGAAACATTATCAACACTCATTCATTTTAAATTGTTAATTATATTTCAGGGTGGATTTGGGATTTGTTATAAAATCAAAGAAATTGCTACTAGTACCTTCTGGGCTGGCAAAATAATATCAAAGAAAATGTTGGCAAACGCCAGGAACAAAAAACGACTGACCCAAGAAATAAATATACACCGGTCGCTGAAGCATAAACATGTGGTTGCGTTCCACAGTTCATTTGAGGATATAAATTTTTTGTACTTAGTGCTAGAAGTGTGCAAAGGCAGGGTGAGTATTATCAACATTAGGTATCATTGATGAACTGTTTTATATGATCATAATAATATGTTTTGATATGGCATTGTTCAATTTACTTAATTTAATTACAACATCGAATTTACTTATCAAAATTTCAATTAATTTATGTGTCTACTCCTCACAGTCCCTCCAGGAACTACAATTAAGAAGACAAAAGATCACAGTGCCGGAGTGCCGGTACTTTACTCATCAAATACTGCTGGGATTAGCATATCTTCATGGAAGACAAATAATCCACCGAGATCTAAAACCCGGCAATATATTCCTTGATCATGATGTCCAGATTAAAATAGGAGATTTCGGACTGGCTACCAGATTTACATACACAAGTTTGTATTTTATTCCTTTCGCTGTATTCCTTCCTTCTTATTGTCTTCACAATTATTACTAACTAGCTTCTGCCCGCGACTTCATACGCGGAATCCCATTTTCCCCCCGTTCCCGTTTGTGATTTTCGGTAAAAAGTAAAAAAAGTATTCTATAAAAAGTCCTATGTCCGTCTTCTGGTTCTAAGCTACCTCCCTGCCAATTTTCATCTAAATCGATTAAGGCGTTCTTGAGTTATAAATAGTGTAACTAACACGACTTTCTTTTATGTATATAGAAGATAATAACACATTAATTAATTAATACTAATAATATTACAGAAGATAGGAAACAAAAATATTGCGGTACACCAAACTACATGGCACCTGAGATACTGACGTCGCATGGTCATTCATATAAAGCGGACATATGGAGTATCGGCTGCCTAATGTACACACTGCTTGTTGGCACCCCGCCTTTTGACGCGCCCACCGTCGAAGACACATATAGAAGGATCAAATGTTGCGATTATTCGTAAGTATTTCCTATTGTTACTACTACTCACCTATATATACAATATATTAATATTATATATTTATAATATATAAATATGAATCTAATAAATCTTTGTGAGAGATTTCACTTGCAACCCCTTGTAAACAGGCGTAGATTGGCGGATTTTTTATCTATGTTAAAATACCAGCTAATGGCATTGACTGCCCTAAAATATTGCGAAAACTTCATTTTAATGTTCCCCGTAAGTCATTTAAGTTCAGTGTACCAATATCGCCTATAGATTGCATGTTTCTACTCTCTGTTACTAGTCGTGGAAACCAGTAATTGGTTTTTTGTTGCATACCACATTCTATTTAATCAAATTTGCTGTTGGTTTTCCAAATTTATAAATTAACTAGCTGTTGCCCGCGACTTCGTCCGCGTAGATTAATGACTTCTGACAGAATTAATCAGAATCAATTCAGTGCCCAAGTAAGATTTACCTATTTTGAAATGATTTATCGTAGTTTCAATAAATAAATAATCCCGCAGGGATCTTACCAGTACAGTACCCGATCACGTAAGGTTTGAGTAATAAAAACTATTCTATCGACTATTGTTGTACCGAATCTCTCTAAAATAAGTTCAGTGGTTAAGAGTTAGAGAGTCCTGGGGCATTGACGCATAGTTCCCGTTCCCGTGGGACATCTGTGATAAAAACTATCAAACGTTACCCAGGTCCCAAATCATCGTTTTACCAAATGTAATTCAAAAAGATTCAACGATTCTAAATTCAATGGCTAAGAAGATTTATACAAACTCTCATTTTATCCCCTTAAGGGTGGAATTTACCAAAATTTTTTCTAACCTTAGAAAGGATTTCGCAAAGTCTCAGCCCGATCGGTTTAAAACTGGCAAAGTATCATACAAACTTTCACCCCCTATTTTACTCACTTTGGGGTGAGAATGTTCAAAAACCTTTCTAAAGGGACGTTTACGTCATAATATCCATCTGCACGCCGAATTTCAACCCGATCGGTGTAAAACTGACAAAGCTTCATACAAACGTTCATCCCCTACATTACCCCATTGGAGGTGGAAATGATCAAAATCCTTACTTGGGGATGTCTACGTCATAACATCTACCTGCATGCCGAATTTCATCTCTATCAGTGTAAAACTGATAAAGCTTCACATAAACTTTCACCCCCTATTTTACTACCTTAGGGGTGGAAATGATCAAAATCCTTTTTTAGCGGATGCCTATGTGATAACATCTATCTGTATGTCAAATTTCAATCCGATCGATTTAAAACTAACAAAGTCTCATACAAACTTTCATCCCCTATTTTAACGCCTTGGGGGTGGAAATTATCAAAATCCTTTCACAGCGGATGCCTACGTCATAACATCTATTTGCATGCCAAATTTCAACCCGATCGATTTAAAACTGACAAAGTCTCATACAAACTTTCATCCCCTATTTTACCCCCTTGGGGGTGGATATTATCAAAATCCTTTCACAGCGGATGCCTATGTCATAACATCTATCTGCATTCCAAATTTCAACCCGATCGGTTAAAAACTGACAAAGTTTCATACAAACTTTCATCCCCTTTTTTACCCCCTTGGGGGTGGAAATTATCAAAATCCTTTCTTAGCGGATGCCTACGTCATAACATCTATCTGTATGCCAAATTTTAGCCCAATCTGTCCAGCGGTTTGGGCTGTGCGTTGATAGATCACTATGTCAGTCAGTCAGTCAGTCAATCACCTTTGAATTATATATATATAGAAGATAAAGTGGAATATGAATATATGCAGGACTTATCATCTTAAAATAATTTGAGTACAATGAATTCCTTGCATAATGAATTGAAATCTTAGGATTGCCTATAAGCTGCTGGCCTCGACGGAAACTGTTTTCAAGTGTGCTTCGTCTCTGGCTGGCGACGACGACTTATATCCAAACATTTGGAAGGGTACAGATTTATTACATTGCAGTGATCGTAATTATGTCGTATTATGTCAAATGTTATACCTACGTGTTTTTAGGATGCCATTAACAGTACACCAGGAAGCCGCAGCTATGATTGCAGTGCAACTGCAACTAAGTCCGAGAAGAAGACCTACGGCAGAGAAACTTTTAAATCACGAATTTGTAAGGAGCGGCGCCATACCTGACTCCCTTCCGCAAAGCTGCCTCTACACTGCGCCCTGGACTGACCACCCAGGTAGGTTCACAACCCACCTACTACTACTCCGCGAAACTGACAGTTTATGTAATAATAGTCTTTAGTATCCCTTTGTCATTTAGCTAATGCCAGGGTACAAGATAGTTGTTTAATGATAACCAGGTCAGGAATATGAAAAAAATTTTTACCAAGTTTTGTTCGCATCAGTATTTTTACATAGTATAACTAGTGAGGTATATCTAGTATCTAGGTCAGGTCATAAGTTCTGTCACACAAATTTTTTTTTCAATTAAGAGTGATGGTCACGAATTAATATCTTAATAGATGTATTTTTTAATTTGAGTATTATTAAATGTGAAGTGGATGATTAAAGAGAACCGTGTCGCGGTAATCGCGCTGCATCGCTGTGGTTACGCGCCAACTCAGATTTTTAAGATGCTGTAAAATTTTAACTTAACCAAAAGATTCGTTTATTATCAAACGATATAATACAGTCTAAAGCTGACCAGTCCCAGTTGACGGTGCCCGTTTACGAACATGGTACGTACCACCGCCCAACTGAACCATATTGTAGGGAATCGAGCCATCCCATGCACGTCAATAAGATATTTGAGTGAGACAACTCCAAGCTGACACAAATGCATTCTACTATTCTAATCACGCTAGAGTAGCTGGCGGCGTGTAAAATGATAAATATAAAACGAACAAAAAATAAAACAACGACAAATTTAAAAAATAATAAAATTATAATGTGGCAACTTGGTCTTCGTGGCCTATGCCAATTAATTATAAAATTCTTACAAGTAAGGTAAGACAAGTTATTTAAACTTGTTCAAAATTGCAGTCCATACGCGTCCCGTGCTGGCGATCGGGAACTTATCAGAGGAAGACGACACAACACCGGCAGAGCCACAAGTAGAACCACCGACTAAATACAAGTTTGGCACAATTCGAGCTCACCTTATCTCATTAATTCGTGAAAACTTTAGAAAGGTATGAACACAACACATTTTTTCTCTCTCTCACCTCATTTCTTAGTTTTTTCCTTCTTTCTGTTCTTGAAACAACTTTTGCATTATATAATACCTATCTACTTGTTTACAGGTTAAAAGTCATTTTGCTAATATGCCGGCAATCAAATCAAACTTGTCAGAGAAAGACGACACAACACAGACAGTGTCACAAGTGGAACCACCTCCGATTATTAAATACAACTTTAACGTAGTTCGATCTAACCTTATCTCATTGCTTGGTGAGGACTTCAACAAGGTATGAGCACGACACCAACATGTGTTACTATTTTCCTATCGTTTTTCTTAGTTTATTTCCTTCTTTCTGTTATTAAAACAACTGGCATTTTATAATACTTACTTGTTTACAGGTTCAATGCCATTTTGGTAATATACCGGCAATACGCTGCCGCGCGGTACGTCCGTCGCTGTGGGTGACAAAATGGGCTGAGTACCCGGTTGGCTTTGGCTATCTTCTCTCTGATAATACCATAGGAGTCGTGTTCAAGGACTCCACCAAGATTTTCATAATAGCTAATGACGGGTGAGTTTTACTTACTTACAAAGTTGACTGATGTTATTTTCTCGCTAATGTCCATTTTTTGTCCGCAGAGTCAGCCACTTCATCACCGACTACGGTGCCGAATTTTTAATGACCGTTAATCAATATAATGTGGAAGAGGAAAACATTGATAAAAAAATGAGATTTCTTTTTGATTTAAAATCACGTATAACTCGGTATCTAAAAAACAATGGTAAACTTTAATTAATTTAAAAATTATATTAATTTATTAAATTAGATTTTTTAAATATATAGGTATATAACAAGGTAAATAATGGTGTTCTTTTCCCGCATAATGCAGATTATAAACTTCTAACCGAAAGTGATGGAGAGGATCAACCAAGATATTTATACGAGGCCTACAAAACCACAGAAGCTGCCGTCATGTATTTTAGCAACGGGGCATTACAGGTAACTATTAAAATGACAATTTATAACCAAGAGCCTTGTCCTGCCATGGCCCGCGACTTCGTTCGCTTCGAAACTATAGGTAGGATCAAAATCACAGTTTTGCCCAGTATTTTCTCAATGCTTTGCTTCACGTTTTCTGTCATCAGGTAAACTTCCACAACGGCACGAAGGCGATTATATGCCCGATGTTCAAGACGATGACGTACATTGAAGATGACGGGACATACAGTCTTTATCCCTTTAAAACAATCGAAGAGTTTGGCTGTCCTGACGATTTGTATTGGGACCTCCGATTCTGTCTCGAACAACTGAACGCACTAGCAACGAAACTAGGCTAGACACCAAATGTTAGCCCATCTGGTACATAATAATGGTGATACCAGATATTTTGTAGTGTGAGTAAATACTTTCTTTTATAATTTGCCTTGATTTATGCCTGATAATATACATTTCGTACAATTTTGAAAGTACATTTCCAAAAGAAGAAGGATCACAATCCATACAAGGTTACTCCACGTCCTATAAGACTCATTTATTTTTGGGTCATGTGTGGGGTTCAACAGAAGTTTAACCTCATGTTGGTGGGGTTGCCACACCTGTCCCTCGGCTGCCATCAATGAGCATTTTATCATGGCCTCACATTCTATGATCTTTTTATAGATTTAACAGACAGTTTATACTGGTTCTGTACTAATGAAAGAAATATATTAAAAAATACAGATAAGGGATTACATGTACGAGATTTATAAGCCAACTCCGCTACACCTGTAAGATTACCTAATTAGGTTTATAAAATTTCATAACAAAATATTCGGGTTTTCAAATAAATCTGTGTGTTTCTTGTAACTCAGAATCTAACTTTTTGATGGTATAAAATAAAATATACACGTACACATAAATGTGACTGAAAAAATCACAATTTGTCTCTCGTTTAGAGTTCTACAGAAGTTTAGAATAGAATAGAATAGTCTTTATTGTACACCTTTAATAATATAGGTAGTAAAAACAGAATAAAGAAGTAGCAAACATTTATAAAATAATAATAGATAATAAGTGATTTCTACCTTTGTAAATTTCCTAAGAATAAACTGGTGACAAGTATGTGGCATTAAATAAAAGATGCACCATGCCAACCTATTAAATGGAGGACCTCCCATTGTTCAATTATTTACATATTATATTGATATCTGAGCATAGCATAATTATTTTTAGAATTAATGTGTTGAAACATTATCAACACTTATTCATCTTAAATTGACATTTATATTTCAGGGTGGATTTGATATTTGTTATAAAATCAAATAAATTACTATAAACACAATATGGGCAAGAATTGTTATATCAAAGAAAATGTTGGCAAAGGACTGTAATAAACTACGACTGACCCAAGAAATAAATATACACCGGTCGCTGAAACATAAACATGTGGTTGCATTCCACAATTAAGAACACAAAAATCACAGTGCCGGAGTGCCGGTACTTTATTCATCAAATACTGCTGGGAGTGGGTTATCTTCATCGAAGACAAATAATTCACCGAGATCTAAAACCCGGAAATATATTCCTTGATCACGATGTCCAGATTAAACTAGAAGACTTCGGACTGGCTACCAGATTTACGTATACAAGTTGGTATTTTATTCCTTTCTTCTTATTTTCTTCACAATTATTACTAATAATAACACATTAAATAATTAATACTGGTAATATTACAGAGGATAGGAAACAAAAATATTGCGGTACACCAAACTACATGGCACCTGAGATACTGACGTCGCATGGTCATTCATATAAAGCGGACATATGGAGTATCGGCTGCCTAATGTACACATGTACAAAAATTTTGATTATACTCCATAAATGAGTTTAAATTAAAACTGCTGTGTAGCGATGCTCTGCTATAGCCATAGCAGAATCTATTTTAAAAAAGCCGAGCTTCCTTCCACGGCAATAGAAGATTGATTTCAAAAGTCAATGTTACAATTAATAAGAACTAATTAGAAAGAAAGAAAAATAATTTATTCGCCATTAGCTATGATGCATCATATACACAGAGACATAATGAGTAACTATAAAACTAGTAAACAAATGATCCGTAAAATATAAAATTATAATAATTACAAATAACAATGTGGCAACATGCCCATGCCATAGTGGCCCATGCCAATTACAAAATTCATATAAGTAGGTAACAGACAGGTAATTTATTTACTTCACTTGTTCAAAATTACAGATCCCGTGCCGGCATGGTGCAGAGCGAGGGGAATTAGGATACCGTCTCCTCCTTCTGTGAAACAGTTATCAACATAAGGAGGAGGCAGGGTGCGTGAAAAACCAAAACTTCTTACGCCCCATCCGTCACGGGAGACACTCCACTCCCAGCATCGAGGACCGCGTGGCGATCTCCGGCCACCTTAAACACGGGTCTGGACGGCGAGCAAAGGTAATTCGCCGCCCAACCAACCACCACGGACGGGCTGACCCGACCCAGAGTTGCGGGTGGCCTAATGGATTACCGGGACTCCGGCAGGACTAAGAGTAGGGAAGATGTGATTTTTAGTCAGTTAAAGTCTGACACTCCCTCTCGTCTAACCTAAGACAAGAGAAGTCATTGTATGATTATCCAACATCAATAAAAAGTGGCCCCTGATCTACTCACCGATTGTGATTATTAATACAGTTGTATGTGAATGCCAAAAACGAAAGACATGAAGAATACAGTCCTAAGTTTATCAGCATATATAAGAAGTGTTTTTGTTCGATAAACCAGCATAAACTGACTGTTTGAAGATTGACTCATGTGTGTGATATTATTTTCCTATTACTGATTGTAATATTGTACTATAGTTAGGTTATAAATAACCCTTAAAGCCGAAGCTGTTGGCTGCTGCCACAAGTACAGTTATTTTTGTTAAGGGTGACGAGATGGAATTTTTTACCATTTAATTCCCATTCGTCACCAGGGGTGATATATGGGAAAAAATGTAAATAAATTCCCACTAATCACCGGTGGGGATATGGGGGTGACAAACATAAATGAGGTCATTCACGTTTGTCAACCCCATATTATAATCTTCTTATCCCGTAAAAGTATGCACACTAAAAAACAAAAATCAATTCGCTCGTTCCCTAGACACAATACTGTACTATACGTAAATATAAGTTTGTCAATGTTAGGTTACCCGCAATGGACATAACGCTGTAACTGTAGGACTGATGGTCGAAATTAGTTTGAATCATTATTATAAATGTAAACATTTGTGAGTTTGCGTGTTTCTTTGTTATTCAATCACATCTAAATTTATGAAATTTAGAAAAGAGGTAAATTACGGTCTAGATACAGGCTACTTTTTACTCCTGGGTACGCGGGCGAAGCCGCCGGCAAAACCAAGTATTATAATATGTATCGCGTGTAATATATTGTATCACTTGCGATTTTAATTACCTACTTCTGAGCTATGTCTGTGTTACCTAGTCGTAGATACCACACCTGTGGAGATCGAACTTATTTTTAATCCTATATAGATAGGTATTGTAAAAATATATCTCAATAAAGGTGATGGGGATTGTCTTTAACTGCTGATACAGTAGTTCAAAATAGTCTGATATGGCGTTCAATGTATTAAAATTAAATATTTTTATTGATTAAATAAGAAAATATTGACAAATCGAATTAATCATCAACGACATATTGATTCGAAAATCGTTCGACGTCACGCTTATTCACTTTTTATACTGAGCGATGACGTAGCGAGCTTTCTATATTATTTCTTATTACGATTAAAGGTTAAAAATTTTTTTAATACTAATCTAAATGACTGACTAAATTGATTATTAAATTTAATATTACATTAGTGCTCGCATAATGCGGGAAATAGTATTTAAGTTGGGAATGAATACCGTTGAAACGAGCGGACCTTTAAGTAGCGAGTAAATTATTTATTAAGATTTAAAATCTCTTATTTTATAAGTTAATAATATAATTATGTACAACTCTGTATTTTATTATATGTGTACATACAAAATACATGAATGTATTAAAAACAAATTGATCGAAATCCCGTTGTTTCTATTAACTTTATTTTATTTTTTCCCTTAACATCCAATGCACATGGCAAATGGCTCTGTGTCGGGTGTAACGCCCAGTTTAGTCTAAATATAATACGTTGGGTAGAAGGTACACCGAACACAAATTCTGATCTTACTACTGAGAATTTTTGAGAACCGAAACATCATAATATTCCTAGTGACTTACATACTCACAAAAGACTTCTGATATGGAGTAAAAATGAGATTATGTGATTAAGTTCATTTTTTCCGCAAGTGATGTAGGTTACTCAAGGTGGATTGACGATTTTATAAATTATGAAGTCCACGTTTCCTCCTGATGCATGTTTATCTTCGCAATAGGTTAGTGGCAAAGAGTATAATAAGTGTAGACGCTCAGAGGCAAAAACGTTAAAAAAGGCCAGAGTTCCTTAAAACAACGACTGGGGCATCTGGCTACTATGGACGTACACACAGATGACTATAAAAAAAGACTGCCTCGTTGGCCGAGTGGTCGTAAGTGCAACTGCCGAGCAAGGGGTCTCAGGTTCGATTCCCGAGTCAGGCAAACCATTACTGGGTTTTTTAAATATTCTCAGTAGTAGCACTGAGTTTGGAATTGTGCCCGGTATATGGCAATAGGCTCACCCCCTATTACATGGAACTCATACTATAAATAGTGAAAAGTGGGTGTTACATTGTACAGTTGTATAATGTGCACCTCTGCGTAGGTAGCCCTTCGGTGATAAAAGGCGTGATGTTATGTGACTATAAACTAGTTAGAGACAGATTATGATAATGATAAATGGTAAATTTAAACTTTAGTTCCTCGGCCCCCACGAAGCGCTAGTGTCGCAAAAACAAATGGAGTGCAAGTGCAATACCTACTTAGATTTTTCATCACATGCACAAAATAAAGAAAAAAATGCCTCTATATTCAACGATATTTACAACTATTTGTTTTCTTTCTATATTGTTTAATTTATCTAGCTTTTATATGTATATACATACGGTCTTTTCTAGAATAGTTTCTCTCAAAATTTCATTAGTTGTATTACACCAATATTTGTTTACGGTTAAGCAATTGTTCCTTCAACAAACTACTGACCATCACATTGATAGGAATAAGAGAGGATAACCAAAATTCCTGTATTTTATCGTTTTTTGGAAATCGATAATTGTGTTTTGTTGTTTTATTGCAACTAATAACATAACACTTTCACAATTTATTCACAATAGGTACCTACGTGATAGTTATAAAAATCATTTGTACTTGTGACATTTAGTTCCTTTTACGGACGGTAGGAGCGTTGTTCAAAGCTTATAGAAAATGCTTTCGATGGCGACACGAATACTTCCTCGATAGTGTTCCATCAGGTGATCCGTCTGCTCGTTTACCGGCTTATCTGATAATAAAACATTCGTTGTCATTCTTAAATAGTCTTTTTGCAGCTGCATCATGTCGTAGCTCTCTGGTTGGTATTCTATTTACAACAAATCAGGCGTCATGTCGTAGCTGTCTGATTGGTTTTCGGTTTTATACCAGTCACACAGCAGGACACTAGCGCTTCGTTGGGGCCCAAGAACTAAAACTATCACTTAGAAATGACGAAGCACCAGTCCGTGGTGTATTTATGTGTGCGTGTATTTACAAGCAACGCCGTAATGAATGAAGTATAAAGGTCATCACACACATAACAAGCAAAAGTCAAGCACGGCTCCGGCACAGCTTTGACACGGTTCAAGCACAGCTAAAAAAAAACGGCTAAAGCAAAGTAAAAAAACGGCGTGTTAGAGCTCCAACACGCCATTTTTTACTTTGGAAACAATACAAAAATGTTTACAGCATTTTCATAATGACGTTATCAAATATGTCATACGACATACGATTTAAAGTTCATACTTAAATGACGAGTAAATGGCTGGATTGGACATTGGAGCCGTGCTTATTAGGTGTGCGATGCCCTAATGACGGGTCATGTCACGCGACAGATGTCCTTCGTGCCAATGTGTGTGTATTCTGTGTGTAAGTCTATAGTAGCCAGGTGTCACGGTCTTTGTTTCGAGAGGCAATGTCCGCCTTTTTTTCAACGTCCTTAGTCCAACGACGTTGGATAAGTATGTAATAGACGTAGGTAATACTGTTTGGTATTAATCCTTATTTTGGGCAAAGAATACCAGCTTGTCTGTCAAGTCAATGTCAATTTGTTTTTCCCAAACACAACAAAGAGTTTTCTTTACCTATATATCTTTGATTTGTTTTTATGTTTGATGGAAATCAACGGATATTCAACAATAGTGTTAAAACGTATTGGTGTATTTTATTGAGTGCTCTCATATATAAAACCCATCAATTTATTTTTAGCATTAATGGCACCTAAAAAACAAAAAGTAGCTCCCGAGCCACCGGATGAAAACGCTTGGAAAACGGTCATTCAAGAAGCACCGATAGATGAAGAAAATTTTGCGGTTAAAGTAATAATACTTGAATCTGCTGGTAGTGAACAAGAACGGATTTATCTCAATAAATTTGAAACATTTGCCGCTGAAGAAAAACGTTTTGTTATCAAAAACATTTGTAAAAGTGAGACAATATTTATGATAAATCAACTAGGTGCGGAGAAAAAAGTTAAAGATGAAAATCTTAGAATTTTCGAAGAAGCTCAGTCGTATCTAAAAGATAGGAAAGATATTCCAGCAGATGTATTATCTTTAGTAATTAAACATCTTATAATGAAAATGAAAGACGAGTACCTCTATATTCAACGTCAGAAACTTGAAGTTAAATTTGGTATGCAAAAAGAATCTATCACTATGCTTGATCAAGGAGAAGTGAAGGGTACTGCAACTTCAAGAACACGCCTGGACGCCAGTCATAGTAAGAGTCGAATGAAGGAAGGCGACGGAGACGGTCGTCCGGACAACAAAAAATACAAAACCCAACTTAGAGTGAGGGGTGAGGAATGGAGAGATAAAGTATACGTCGACGACTATCCTACCGACGGACCCAATATTTATGTCGCTGTAACAGGTTTTGTAGACCCTTACCTACCATCATGTTTAGTTAAAGCTAACATACCATTGACAGCAATAGTGCAAATAAGAATAGATCCATCGACCACTTCGATACCATCTAGTTTATTACGAACCACAAAAAGAGGTCAAAGTCAAACAGAATTATTAACTGAAAAATCTATGAAATTTTGGGAAGATTTACAGTTATTGCGAATACGAAGAGAGACTGTTGACGATTTTAAGGAAACTGCTTTTATTGTATTTTCTCCTCCGTATTGGAATTCAGAAAATCTGTCTGGGAATCCCGATAAAATATATGACGAACTGTGTTATCTTATGTACGACATTCAGGATTTGTCTAGGCAACATGTTCATTATAAAGAAAACATGCACATTATTAATATACCTAATGATGTTGGCAATTCACATCTCAACAGACAATATGAAAAACAAATAGCTGACCTTCCTCTGGAATGTGTAACCATGTATTCATTCTTAGATGTTCTTCTTCAAACAGCATGCAACGCTCAAGATTATGATGATGAGACTAGTAGAAGTTCATTATCAACAGCTGCTACTATAAATCCCTTACCTTACTATCATCACAAAAATTTGACTGAAGAACATAAGCTTAACATTTCTGAACATCTGGTGAAGAATCTTTTTAATACATTATGTAATACGGAGGCTACTAAAAAAACGTACCGCCTAACGTACGGAGAAGAATATGAAGATCATAAAGATCCTATTGTGATCGATTATGGGGATTTTGTTAAATATAATACGTTTCAATTAGGAAATATAAATTTAGATAACATCGTCTACTCCTCCTTGCTTGGTATGCCTACAAATAATTTATGGAAGAATCAAAGTCGACCAGATGGTGAACTCGAGGCCAAAGTTAATTTTCATGTAAATGTTTTATTGTCATGTTTTGAAAGAGAGGACGTTGAAACCGCTGAGTTGAATAGACTGCTTAATATTTTAGCTTGCCGCAAATTGTATAATCATCGAAGTTCATTAAAGAAGCGGCATTTACCAACGACCTCTATAACAGAGTTTAAGAAAACTTATTTAAAGCGTAGTCTTGTTGCTGAACCTCTTCCTGCATGCCCTTCTTTAGCTGGTAGTGGCCAAAATCTATCTCCATCTTTTCCGTCTATGACAAAGAGTGAAAATGATTATGAATGCGCATATTCCCCAGAAGACCCTGATCCCGAAATCCGTCGATTGAAACACCTTTTCGATTGTCCAGATATAAGTGGCTTAGTCACAGCTGCTGAAATCGAAAATAATCAACCTATCTCCAAGCACAACATTATAGACGATTATGACTTTTTTGAAGATCTTTCTGGAACCTGTGCTTTTCAAATTTTACGTGATGCATTTAATAAATTCAACTGTGTTGACTACAAACATTGTGAGGTCACTGATTGTTTTATACTCATGTTTTTCAATAGTCACGACAAAGAAGGTATAGCACGTGAGGAGTGGCGATGTCATTTAACAACACCTCTTTGCTTGCAAGATTTTTTTGATTTCATTTTAGAAGAGCATTATGACTGGATACAAAACGAAGAGAAAATTTACGATGAAAATCTTTTATCCCAGGTTAATTCAGAATCTAAAGATGTTATTGATCCTCATGCATCACAAACTTGTCTAGAAACTACTGATGTCGAAACAGAATTGCTAATGGACGGTTCCATAAAACATGACACACTTAAAAAAGAACGTATTCTCCGAGATGCAGACCCAACAAATAATTCATTTCAAAAATCGAGGTCACAGCTTTCCATTGATTTACTTTCAAAAAGTAGTAAAAAATTTAGAACATCTACCTCACAACCAACGGTTGGACAAGGAATCGCAGAATTTCAAGACTCCATTGATACGAGCATACCTACAAAACCTTTCTTAGGTTACGACTTGGGAGATAGAAGAGTCGAAGTTTTTGGAAAAGACGCTGTATTTTTTTCCAAAGATGGTACTAAAGTGACAAGTTTTTATACTTTGCTTATACCATATAACTTGGAATACATAGTCCTAAACATTTTACCTGGAAATAGTTACAATGAATTTTGGTTACATAAAGCTTTAGGTGAGTATGTTCCACCAAGTATCAAAGATGCTTGTGACTCGTTTAGAATTACAAGTAAGGATCAAGTTATGATGTATTTTAAAAAGCAATTGTATAGTGTGCCAATAATGCCAGATATTAATAATGAAAACACGCCACCTACTGAGAAAAAAAGGTCAGGAGTTGATAAAGAGAGCTCTGCTATAGTACAGTTGTATGAAACTAAACAATACCACTCTCTTTATGTTACTTGGCCTAACGGTTTGGTTACAGAAACAGTATATCTGGAAAATTCATCTATACTTTCACATATCAAACTATATCATACTTGCCGAATGCCACATCTTGATGAGGAAATGCGATGTATTAGTTTAAACGGTGAAGTAATTATTTTTAAAGAATCTGGTGTAATTGAAATTCTTAGGCCAGATGGAACTTATATTAAATTAACAAATTATTATAAAAGAGTGGTCCCTCCTCCTGACCAGGAAGTGAAAGATACTCCTTCGGAGAAGGGTAAGAGAAAAAGTAAGGGAAGAATAAGCAAAGCATCATCAAAATCTACCAGCAGTCGGGTAAAAGTATCGCAGGATGATAATAAACCATTGGACGATAAACCACCGGAATATGAAATTGTAATTAACGATTTTGAAATCATAGAAACCACAGGTTTGAGGCAAAAGTGGATAAATAATGTTTCTTATAACATAGAAAAATTGCTTATTCGTACGGCTTCCGATTACTGCTTGGGAGAAGTTTTTTCCAGACGCATGGATGGAACAAATATTTTAGTAAATAAAGAAGGCATGCAAATTGTTACATTTCCTGACAAAACAAGAATAATTTCCTATTACGAAATTGATGATGAAGAAGTCTACCCAGAATGGACAGATGTGGAAATGGAATACTTTGAAATGTTTGATCCTGATACGATCGAAGACGGCAGGTCTAAACTATCAGTTTCGCAAAAAAGTTATACAGGTGCTGCGTACACATGCGAAAGCAGTGCCTCAACGTTTTCAAAAAAATTAGAGGAGGAAGAGTCGAAATATAAGAAACGAACAGATGGTTACGTTTTGGTGCATATTGTATATTCAATAGAACATCAAAATTTTAGTACAATCACAATAAATAATGTTACTGGCAAGGTATCTGTGGACTCACCGAATGAAACAACTGTGGTGGTAGACAAAAACAACAACTACGAGATAAAATTAGATAATGGAACATCGGCTAGTTTTAATGGAGAATTTTTAAACATATCTTACGAGGCGTGTTCTGAATGTAGTGCTTTCACACACTGCAACGTAAAAATAATGAATAAACCTGAAGACGATGCAATAAATGACGAATTAATAAAAGTTGAACCAAATTGGCTCAAAATGACAGATTCTTTTAAGGTACAAATCGTAGTAAATGAAGAAGGTGCTATTAGCATCTCAGAAGAATCGACGGCTTCCGAGGACGAACGAGCGGAGAATTTACTTAATGAAGAGGAAAGGACAAAAGCACCAAATGACACCGAAGAAAAAGAGCCTGACGTGAAATCTGAGAGTTCCGTCGTTTCTCATGGAAAGTGCAGAGAGATGTACTTAGCGAAAAAATTCAGATTTTTTATCCTGAAACGGTAGGTTTGTTAGTCGTTATTATTGTTAGTTGTTAGATAAGCTTGTGATAAAATAGACGAGCTAGAACTTTCCGGTGCGATTACTGTGTTACAAGTACTTATTTGGGAAATTGGATCTGGTCTATTAGATAATTATTATTAAGTTTCATTTTGTACGCTTTTAAAGGTGTTTGTTCTATTTGTTTAGTGAACTACATTGTGCAGAGCTTCTCCATAGAGCATTACTGGATGAATACAAGCGTTCTTGTCGATGGAAGCCTTGGTGTTCTATCAATTATTACGATACATTTGGAGATCATAGAAACCTTGTGTCGATTCTAACTCCGGTCCATCGGACGGAAACGGAGGTTTGTGCACAAATTCATAATCTTACGTAGTTGCATAAACCGAAATTGTATATTTGTGAATGTTTGCCGCCATTCAGAACTAATCCTTAAATAATGCCTAAGCAATCTGTTATCGATTGATGGTAGAGCATCTGAGTATCATCATCATGAACAGCCTATAAGTGCCCACTGATAAGCGTCTTCTCACACAGATATTTAATGAGCATAAATCACCACGCTTGCTCATAATAAGTACAGTTTTCTAACTACATATGTCTAAATTATCTTATAAAGTAAAAGTAGATGTTCCCCAGGTTTCAACCCGCTACTTTCACGGCAGATTTGGGGCATGAACATGTATCCATCAGTACCTACTAATAGAAAAACACATCTGTACGTGTCACTTGTTTTTACTGTGGAAAATAAAGTTCTTTCGTTCTTCATCATGGGATGTATCTGAGCCACCACGACATTTACAAAATACCTAAATCATATGACTAACTTTATCTAAGTATACCAAATCAGGAATAATTTAGGTACCTCTCTATTAATTTTCAATTTCGTCAATTCTCGCCTTGCCTTTGTTTTTTTTTTACAGAAATGGTTGATGGAATCGAAATTGGCTAACAAACCCAAGTTTCTCCAATACAAAGACCTGAAAAAAGATTCTGGAAAAGGGTTTTACCACTGGATGAGACCTTACGATAGATTTGTCGCTGAGCCTACAAGGCCATGCAATGTTTTGCCAGAGCGTCTCCCTAGAGCCTTTATCCTTAGGTTTGTCTCATTTAGTTTAATAATAGTCTTGGGAACATTTCATATACCTAATTATACATTATTATTTTTAATTATACATAGCATTACACATTTCTACGTAAAGAGTAACTTTTTACTTTCTTTTGAATAATAATATATTTTATTGAGAGAATATAGCAGTTATGCCCAATACTATTAAATAGTCCATGCTATTTCTATAAATGCAAGAGTATGTGCCAATACTGGTTGGTATGTACGGAGCTGTTTTTATAATAACTATCGTGAGACATACTAAATTAACTAAAAATCGCGGGTTACTCGCGTGAATATACTGAGAAAAACATGTAGGACAGTAGGCTGCGCGACATCGCTGTGACCGCACACGCTGCTCACGAGGAACCACCCTTCTGTAGTTCGAAACTAGTAGAGCTTTTCTCAGTATATTTACGGAACGGAGCTATTCGCCAGTGGATTATACTATGATTGGCACACCTACGAGATTAACGGCGGAAAAGCGTTGCTACATTCTACGAACTATGCGCTACGAAACATAAACTACGAACTACGCGCTATGAACAATGCGCTACGAACTATGCGCTACGACCTACGGCTGTAGTTTCGCCTCAATTTAAGTGTAAAGTTGGTCTTATAGATTTAGGGCTGCGGATGTAGGTTTATTTAACATAACATCACATTTAAAAATAATCCTTTTGACAATGCGAGGTGTAGTGGTCTTGGCTAGTTATACTTTTGCTACGAATAATAATAGGGTAACTAGAATACCTACCTGTAGTTGGGTAAGATATCTAACATACACATACATAGACATCAACCGATTGATCTGACAGTTTGTATATACATGTTTAGTTTTTTTAAACCTTTATAACTTTATAAGCCTGTAGTGACAGTGGGTATACCGAACAATCTTTAATATGTATATTCTTTAATTTATCTTTAAAACAATAATAAGACATACCCAGATAAAATTTGGTTAACTTCATCAGGACTTTAGAACAAGAATGGAATGAGACACAAAGGGAGGAACTAGGAGGAGCAAAGGAGTTGATCAGGGCTGTGCTCCGGTACCGATGTATTATGGAGTCTGACAGCGAGACCATCCTGAGCGTCCCTATTATAGACTCCAGAGCTGAAGACGAGCGAAAAATTGATGACATTATACAAGCCCTTGCACATAAGTCCTTATCTATTTTAAAATACTTTGATTTGCTTAATTTTATCATTGCCCTGTCTGTGCCAACTAGTCCTTTGACATTTTACAGTTATAAGAACAAACTAGACATAACCTGTATGATCACGGCAGAATATAACAATAAATTTGTTACTATAATTATTCCCGCAGTCATCGTAAGAACCGGCACTATAAACAGATGTTCGGCATCAGCATTCTCTGATATATTTAATACTCTTTAAATGTGAGCTCCATCGCGCCTGGCAATTAAGCGTGGAGAGTATTACATACCCTCTTTTGTAGACAAGGCTCGGCTATTGAAGTGATAATGAATCTTGATATAGTATAATGATTGCAACGACTTGTTTATCTAATTAGTACTTAATACCACTTTTAATATGCTAGGATATACGAAGATCTAAAGGTTACAATGTCTGACGAAATTCAGAGACGATCTCGACCTTCCATTACGACGAAACCAGCTCCAGAACCCGAAGACTTGTCTGCTGAACTTGAAGAATTGGAAGACGGTAAGTAATGTTATGAAACAACTGAATAAGTATCCAAAACAAATGAATAGAACGGTGTTGGAATCCAGGGCCCCCGATAATAACGCGTCGGTCCTCTTTTCGACTTATCTTATTTGTTGTGACTTAATTTTTTTTTTAAGTACTCAGTTGTACACAAAAAGTAAAAAGTAGGCAAACGTTGTGCTATTATGCTACATCATTATAAAAACACTATAACGAGTAGGTAGTATTATTCAGACTCTTCGCCTGAACCGTTCGGTACCTTAGGTCGCTAATCCCTATGAGGCTGGTGACCACCAAAGAGGCAGTCAGTCCGTCAAGAACGTTCGTTGAAACTAGGTACCTACATACTTAGGTATAGGTACGTAATCAAGAAAAGGTGACTTTTGAGTATAACTTCTTAAAGTACCTAAATAGAAATGTATAAGGATTGCGGTTCGACTGTACCTACAACATTAAAATAAAATTCACCATGGAATTAAGTGAAGTTTGTTTGCCTCTTTATTCTCCAATATATAGATGAAGCAAAGCAACTAGAAGAAGAACGGGAAAGTTCTCTGAGAGAGGTTGAAGAAGCAGAGCATATGAGCCCCTGCCTGGAAAGATATTGGCGTCGCCGCAACGAGGAGTACAAAGAGGAACAATTTTATATGTAAGTCAACAATTGCAGATGTGTTAAATAAAGGTGTAATAAGTAAGTAGTAGATACTATTATAGTTTTATTTTCATCTCTAACGTATTAGTGTCCGTGTAATACCCGTTTTCACCGACCACTCCTAAACCATCTCTTAACTTAAAGTTACTTAGCGTGAACGAGCAGCTGAACTGCTGAACTGCTCAACTGTCACTTACAGGTTGGTGTAAACCCAAAATGAGATTACATATCACCTATCTTAGTTTAGAGGTTTCTTAAAACTTGTTTTATTTTATTTTTTCCCACATTTGGTTTTTCTCCTGTGTCGTGGGTGCGTTTACAAACATACAAGTTCACATACACAATGACACCCAGACCCGAAACAACAATTTGTGGATCACACAAAGTGTTATTCCGTGCGGGTATCGAACCCGCGACACGTTGCACGGCACCTGGTTGTCCAGCCACCGCATCAACCGTTGGTGTGTTGGTGTTGACCAAAACGGGCATTAAGTATCCAAGTTACTAAGTACTAAGTACATAAGAATGGGTTCCAAATATATCAGCGAGTTTGCTGAGAACGAGCAAATTTATTGACATGGTACTAATTGCTTTCAGTCCTGTGTAAATATCTATTTAATTGGAGAAACTGTTGGCATAAATCCGATAAAGATTGTTCTATCTAATAATACTTACAAATATTTATTTAATAGGTAAACACATTTAATTTATCAAGGAGGAAATTCGTATCTCATCGTGATAAAAATACTTACTTTAATAGTGTTTGTATCAAGTAATATTAATAGATAACATTTTTAAGATGGCGGCTCCCTTATATTGATACAGAATTAGGTACTTATATCAAGTGACTGGAGGTAAAAAGGCCATTATTACACGACATTTTCTCAGTATTTTTCTGTCTATGTACTTTTGTATGATATTTTTCCGTATACACCGCTATGGTGTGCTCTGCGCGAGGCACCTGATTACATATTAACTAAATTTAAGTTAACCCCTGTTTGTGTAGTTTTAAGGGCACTTATTTCAGTTAATAAACGCCTTTCACTATAGTTTTCGCGCATTCGAACCTCATTTCCATCCCACACCCTGACGTAGAGTCTCCAATAGAAAGCCCAACGTTACACTTAGTTTAGTACGTGGTAGTCAAAATCTTTGGATTGAAACTTTTGTTAATTTAGTGCGTAAGGTAACTATTGTAGTCTTTAGTAGATACTTTATTACAAACTAGCTTTTACCCGCAGCTTCGCTCGCGTCACAAAAGGATAAAAAGCCAATGTGACATATATCAATACATACAGCGCCATCTATACCAATACTTTTGTTTTTCCTCGGGAATATCAAATTTTTCCGGGATAAAAAGTACCCTATTATTCAATCCGGACTTCTAACTTTACATCTGCAAACATTCAAAGCAATCGGTTTAGTAGTTACGGCGTTAAAGTGGAACAAACAAACAAACTCACTTTCCGATTTATAATATTAGTAAGGATGTATGAAATTGGAAAGAATAATTTAATGCAAAGAATATTTTAATGCAAAGACCAGTAGCAGACCGCTAATTAAAAAAAAAATTTAGACGAGTATTGACTTATCTAGTCGTAGTAACAGTTTATAACTATCTTTGTTCTTATAGGTACCTTCTCCGAGAAAGCAGTGTTCCGCCATACTTTAAAAATGTTCTTGGCGGTGCTATTTGGTGGGACGTGAACAACGCGACCGGAGATGCAGTCTGCATAGCTGAACGGCGCAAGATGAAGTGTGTTTGTGCTGTCGAAGAAGAAACTACTACTGCCAGTGACATTGTAAATCCTTTCATGTAGACATGCCATGTTTTTTGGGGTTCATCACCATTAACAAACGATTCTTGAGAGTCCACCACTAAACTATCGATATTGATCTTGGATATCTCTACGTTGGGGTTGGGGAAGCGAGTTGGAGATCGCAGTTTAAAAGGATTACGGTTACCATAGAACGCTACTGCCCAGCCTCCGTTGAGTAATTTCGTTGTCCTGAGCGTACGGCGCGTCGCGTTCCGCGCGCGCCTCAAAGAGCCATCAGACCACCACAGATGGAGCCCAACAGGGCTAATGCCGATACGGAGCCGCGGAAGACTTAACGGGTTGCCGGGGTTCCGGCTCGAAGTGCAGAAGTAGGAACGGGGTTATTGGATGATTACCCCACTCAAAAAAAAAACGTAGGCCCTTGTTGTTTTTTGTTTATTTTCTAATTAATTTCGTTGCGGGATCCAAGACAGTTATTCATGTCCCTGAGGTGCACCGGACTTCAGTGTTCTGATGATTTCATGGCTTTATTTACTGAAGATGGCTTACGGGAGTTGCAGCGGTTTTGGGAAGTTGCGGCGGGCTTGTCCCATTCAAATAAGTCCCTTGTTCGACTCTTAGCTACGAGTCACCAACGGAAAGAGCTGAGGTGGTTGGTGATATGTTTGTACTCTTCTAAGTAGGGTGTTTTGAAGTTTTAGTGATCTGTTTTCTAAGCATTAAGTGCTGTTTTAGTTTTCACTGTTTATTTTCCTCATTAAGCTTCTTAAGTGTTTCTGAGCGTCGAAACTTGATTAAGAACTTAATTTGTTTGATTGTGTCAAAATATACTTGGGTATTTCGTTTTCCATTAATCCTTATTGACAATAGTGTTTAGGGAAGTCCCATTATTTGTTATTTTTTTCTTTTTCAATGGCGTATGTTTGCTCACACTCTGTTCTTTTATACCTTGCCCGAGTGTTGTTTGTTTCAAATGTGGATTGAAGTAGGACAGTACCTATGTCTAATGACAATGGTGATGAATGACATGATAAGTACAATTACTTACTTTCCACGTTAGGTAAGTGTAGTGTGGACCCTGAAGAGCTTTAGTTTTGGTACTTTAGTTGACTGTGATTTATATTTATCGCCTATTTTAGAGGTAACTGATGTCTTCTGACTTATTACATGGGCTGAAAATTCTTGGCCTTATACTGAAAATACAAAAAGGTTGTGTGACTGTGATCCACAAATTGTTGTTCTGCGTTTTAACGTCATGTGTGTAAACTTGTATTTTTGTGACACTGATTTTGAACAAGTTTTTCTCAAAGTCTTATGCAACATAAAACCAACACATAACTATTTCTTTTCTTAACTTTACGATATCAGGCAATTTAAGCTTATGAACTTCACTTCTCAATCATTCAAAATTATTTCGTGGGCTCTTGTGATGATTTCTTGTACCTATTACCGCTTCATTGCGACCGTCTGTCCTCATATCACCAAAAAAAGAAGTGCAATGCAATAAAAAGTGCCATTTTCGTAGGAGGCACAGATCTTTCCAGCCCGTGTGATAAAAACAGTGACATTGGATAATTTTGTTTCTTGAAATATGTATTAAAAAAATAAAGATCTAATTAAGACATTTTACTAACACTTGTTTTCATTACGTCCCACACTCTTAATCCTCAAATCGCATCCCACATAAAGCCTACTGAATTTCAGACGGTTTACCAAAAACGATATTTGTGTTGGGACTGGTTCACTAAATCTTTTAAGTGATTTGAGATTAGAGAAAAAGTTATGTACTTAATTCAGGTTGTTACTACAAGTGAGTAAATAAAATGTACTAATGGAGTGCTGAATAACATTGCTTACTGATAGTATTTAAGGTGTACTTAGTTGCTACGACGCAGATTATACCTCTAATTGATGATATTTTTATAGGTACTGCTATATTTGTATGACTCCAATTATCGAGTCGAGTACCTAATTATTCTTATAAGTTTTTTAAGTTAGCTTTACTGAAGAAGTGTTTGAGACACTTGAAATGTCAGATAAAACCAGGAAACAAAGTGATTTTAACGCATTCGTCTGAGACAGATCATTGTTATACATAATTATTCAGTTGAAATATTGAGTATAGTTCATGTGGACTTGTTGAGTGAATCGCTGTGGTCTCGGTATGAATCGCTCATTACTCATACATACGTGTCGAGTGTCGATACTACTATGCCAGAAATAAACCTGAATTACGTAACTGAGACTTTTTACGCATGACTTAAAGATTATATTGGTGAGTTTATCTTGGCGATAGCGATTATCCGCCTAATGGTTACTGGTAAGGGTCATTGATAGTGTGTAAGATCTCATCGCCTGGCAATCGGCTGCAGGCGATTGGTGTCTGGGCTTGAGCGGTGTGGCCTCGCACACCAATTTGTGTGCAAACGAATGGCGGGAGAAGAGTATGTCAGTGCAGACGAATTCGTCAGTTGTTTTCCCCACCGCCTTTTCCGCTATGACGATGTCAGCCAGTGGCAAAGGAGCGCGGAGTGCGATGTGATTGGTTGCCGGCGCAACCAATGTGCGCGGCCGGTGCACGTCTGCCCTAGCACGAAAGGGACCGCAGTGACGCCCGGACAGTCCGTCCTGGGCCCTTGCGAAGGATCGTGTTGTTGACACGATTTGCATGTGTCGGAAATTGTTTGTCAACAAATGTGTTTTTCCGTTGCATGTGCAATTTTTGCGGACGTCGTAGACGTGTCACGTAAACTCTAGATTGTGTGTTCACGTGAGTATTTAATCTCCACAATATTTTTGTTTCTATGTTGTGACAAAAGATGGCGTTAGGTGTCGCGTTGAATGGCCGTGTCATTGGACTAGGTTATTGTGATCGTGTGTGTCAACCTTTATCAGAATGCGTGCACTCTTGTTTATTAGTTTTCTTACAAAAAGTGACTCATTACTCGGTAAGTGGCGCGTGAATTCAACTTGCTATCCAACAGTGGGGGTCTTAAGTTAGCAATTTGTGTGGGAAGTTGTGTTTGGGTTGGAGTAACATTGGATTAACCTGAATGAGAAGGGTGATGGTGAGCAATGTTACCAATGTTACCAATTCAAAATATGTGCCTATTCTTAGAACTTCCAGTAGAGTTCCTGCACAAGGAGTCAAATTATTTTCTTATCACTTACCTAATTATTGTATGTTATCAGTGTCAACTTCTTACATGAGATCTTATAATAAACATATAGTCAAGATGCTCATACTTTTAAAACAAATCGGTATCGTCTTCAATTCTTCATACCTACGGTGAAAGAAATACTTATAATTCAACTCTAATCCTACTTATATTTACTAACTAAGGCTAAAACAATAATAGAATTTACAAAACTTTATACAAACAAAACAATTGCTTCAAAAACAATTGTGTCGATGGACCAAAACTTTCAAGGATAGGTATAAGGAAAACCATGCGGTTTTTCTTTCCCATTTACAATAACAACCATACCTATTGTTCCGTAGCTACTTGCCATATAACTTGTGGTGTAAATATGGAAAAGAGGGTAAAGAAAATTTACACCTTTGAATTTCAATTGCAATTATGGTCTCTAGGTATTTACCTGCCGTTGCATTCATTGGTGCCCTCTTTTTACCTACAATAAACACTCACTTATTATAAGAAGGATACCATTTAACTGCACCTCAATAAAAAAACTACGAATTCGACGATAAAAAAAACCATCACAAATTATAGGTTGGGGAATTACCTAAGGGGACGCTCCACAGCGGAACGGAATGCTATCCTGCGTACAACGAATTCCTACTTTATTATATCTTGTAGCTGACTGCAGTATCCATTGCTGGGGTGGTAGGAAGCTCAATACTTGGTTATTTACTTTGAGAAGCATTGTACAGGGTGTGCTGGTAAGATGTAGCACGACTCCCTATTGCACCAATAGGGAGTCGTGTTGCAAAGCCGGCGAGAGCGCGACAAAACACGGTCGGGTTTCCGTCAATATCCGTGGAACAACAATACTTCAACGCTTGCGTTTGAGTTCATATTATTACGTCAACCACAAGTACTCATTATTCGTACACCTTGTAAACAATGCACCCATTAGCCTTTTCAATTTTAGGCATTGAAAGCAATACAGGGAGCGAGATAAGTTGATTGATAATTATTTAGCCGTTGAAAGACTGAAACTTGAAACTGATAGGATCATTGGGTCCTCCCAAATAATGTCGTTTAAACATGCCCGTTAAATTACACCACAATCTTTTGTAATTAACCAGAAGTGATTAGGTACTTATTCTTATAAGAAAATAACAATTGGATGTCGCCATTGTGTCGATCTAATAAAAATTGTGTAGAAAAATATAAAATTCACATTGTAAATCAAATTGGAATTTTTAACGTCAATTATGGGATCTATTACCACGTTGTACTACATGGATATCACAACAATTGATTAAAATGGTTGCATTTTGAATACGAGAATTAAATGATGGAACATAAGCTAAGTATTTGTTTTAATAGGCTTCGCTTTTCGGCACCTATATTCGGTTCTAAGGTAGCTAATATTGTACACATAATGGCAATAAAATTAGGAATTAAGATCTGACATAAAGCAACTAAATATACCTTTGAAATTAATTTTGAAGTGGTGCTTTCTTTCACTAAATTCGATGGTTGTTTAGTTATATGAAACGAAGAGTTAATCATGTTAGATTTTCAATAAGGTATTTTTTGAATGATACTAAAATATTATAGGCACCTAATATCGTACTCGTATGACTTCTTTATGGGAGTCGTTAGCCCTGCCAGACATATGGCATTCAGAAGGTTGTCTAATGAGTGAATAGTCTTGACGTACGTTTTGATACAATTTGACTTTTCCCTCGTTCGACTTTATGTATAACAATCTCAGAAACTTGAATAGAACTTTAGCCGTTATAGTGTAGTAGGAAAGTTGAAAATCTAGTGACGATGCAGACAGACTAGAGGTAGACGTGCTGCAGTCTGTACTTAGGTATCATTATCTATGCCCCCAGGGTATAAATGTCTTTCCCACAACTGTAACTCGGGGGACAAAATTGGCGGTCCTACTTCCGAATCCGAACTTGTCTCTTCTATTCCCATGTAGATTCGAGTCCATTATCTCAACTTTAATAGTTAGACCACATTTTTTGTTTTGTTATAATTATTATGCTTACATTTGAGTAATGATGATGACAAGCAGTGGGGCGGTTAATGATTATATATGATGTAGAAGACAGATAAGTTTCTAGTCGGCGTTAATTTTTTTTTGTTTAAATCACTTGAAGTAAATCTCCAAAATTTGTTCATACAAAAGTAGTCACTAAATATCAGAAATAAGGTCTATAATGGAGTTAGTGGAGCGCGGTCACCGGTGACCGCTTGGGGATTGATCAAAATCTGATTCCAATCTAGTCATAATCAAGATTCCAAATTAATTGATACTAGTTAGTTATCCTATTTTTGATTAAACAACCTAGTACCTAACTGGTTTTAGTCATGGTGGCCTGGAGGTTAGGGTGCTTTTGGTGTCACGAGGGTATAGGTTAAAACTAAGCAAATGACAAAGATACTTTTTCAAATTACATCTATGTAGGTACTCTGAACTCTCTAAGTTTATTTAGACATCAATAATAACAAATGAAGGAAGAAACAATGAGAAGCTTAATATCTTGTCCATCTTGAGTAGACGTAGTGCACTGGTGAATGATCAGTAATCATTTCTTCCTTCATTTCATTTCATTGGTGAATGGTCAATACTCATTTGTTCATCCTTCATTTCATTTCACTGGTGAATAATCAATACTCATTTCTTCTTCCTTCTTTCATTTCACTGGTTAATGATCAATACTCATTTCATCTTCTTTCTTTCATTTCACTGGTGAAAGATCACTACTAATTTCTTCTTTCTTCATTTTTTATTCTGCGAAGATACTTTCCCCAGCAGTTGAACCGTTACATGCTGAGGTGTTGTCAGAACTTCTCAAGAGACTAACTTATAACTCATTCGAAACTGTCCCGTCGACTTTGGAAGTCTTTTATCTAACTCAAAACTCGAACTGTTATTTGCTATCTATAATAAACTTTTGTGACGTCAACTTTGGCTGATAAAATCATAAAAACAAAGGGGAATAGGGTGGGTGTTAATAGTTCCTGTCAACTGTCCCACTTTAGAATGTTTATTGTTTGTTATTAGAGTCAAATATTAGGGTCATTAGAGTGTGGAACGTAATATAGAATCACGTTTGTACGACACTACTGGATGCAGAAAGCATGGCTCATAGAAATGTCTATTCTCAGAAAGCACGTTTCGCCGAAAACTTTATTGTTAGAAAATATTGTTCGTAGATATCTCGTTCCATAGAAAGCACTAGCCATAGAAATCTTTATTCCTAGACAGCTCGTTTTGCCGAAACCTTTGTTGGTAGAAAATACTATTCGTAGATATTCTGTTCATAGATAGAATTTTTCACCTTGATTCACAGAAAGCAAAGGTAACTATGAATATGCATATGAACAAAATGGAAATAAAGGTATTTGTTTGTTTATCCTAGATAAAAAAAAAAAATTGTCATATGAATAAATCTGGTATGTTTTTTCTGTCTCTGAGAAAAAT